TTATCAAATGCATCGTACTCAAATCTTTTGTTTCATCAATTTTCAGGAAAATAAATCTAGTTCATGTAGACATATGTAAAGATATAAAAACTTTTCTCAAATAGGTAGGAAAGTCGAGTGAGTGGACACACGAGATATTTTCTTCATATTATCCTATGCTGCACTTGCCTACTTCCATATCTGTTCCCCGGAGATACAAATGTCCTTAAATGTAATTTGTGGACGATATTCTAGTTGCTGGAGAATCCAAGGAAGCCCATGGCATAACTGTGGAAAAGTTAATGAAGTTGGGATAATTTTTAACAGAGACACAATTCAATAATATCAAACTGAAATAAGATAAGTCGGACAAGTATTTAGTGCAGAAAGCATAAAGATAGATCCGAAATGTGTAGAAGCACTTCGTAAGCTGAAATCATCTAAACGTTAAGAGGAACTGCATTGGATCATTGGTTCTTCCAATTATGTTCGGAAGTATATCCCAAATATGGCTGAATTAATGGCACCTTTCCCGAAATTATTATGTAAAAATACTGAATGGTACTTTTAGTAACTTTGGTCTGATAACTTTGGTCACCATATCAAGAAAGTGTTCTTCAAACTCTGAAAAAGATTATTAGCGAAAAATTAGCTCATGCATCGTTCCATCTAACAAAGAATTATATTCCAGTATGATGCAAATGAAAAAACAACACCATGTCCATTTTTTATTTGTTCAGGAGAACCAATGTGCCATAACTAAATATGTGCCCCGGAGATAAACGATACCATGTCACATTTTTGTATCTTTTCAGGAATCCGATTTTCCATAACTCTGAGGTATTAGTATTTATTTCTTAGTTAGTAAATTATTTAATTAAAAAAAATGGATTACCCCTTCGGGGTACAGATATGATGTAAAAAAAAGATAGAGTGATGATATTTATAGATTAACATTATAGGTATTAAACCTATCAGAAAATAACAATTATAGATGGTAGGAAGGTAGATCTTCTTTTGTAATCGAAGTCAATCTGAAAAATTATGATATTTATAACACTAGAATATTTAATATTTTATATTTCAAATTTCATTGAATTTCATCTTTTAAGAATATGGTCTGGTTTAGGCATTCTCAAACTCAAAATCCTACAATGTTTAGAATTTTATCTAAAGAAATAATGGAATAACAAAAAAAATTGTCAAACTTAAAATTGTCATTTCGAGAACTTTGATAAATACCTAATTGTTTACGTTTTTTAATATTTAATGTAATTTAATATTTCTTGATATATAATTTGTTTACATTTAACATATTTCCCCCTTTAAATAACATTTAATACACAACTTTTGAACTATAATAAACATTAATATTTCTTTTAATTTTACTTGTCTTAAAGTTATTTTATTTTTATTTATTACACATATTTTTTTAGTTTTTATTCTGCTTCTGTATATTTTATCTTTTCGGTATATATAGTGTGAATGTAACCTTGCCTCACTATAACCGTCTTCCATGTGACAGAATGTTATATTACTCAATAAAAAAAAAAAATGTTATTATTAGGTTTTCCACCTTTGCCGTGCTGTGTGCCGCATCGAACAATGGGTAAAACTCCAAAAATTAATTGTAGATTTATTCCATAGAATTAATTTAGAGTTATTTGATACACTAGGCAAAGGCTTTATCAGCATCGGTTTCTGGGATTGTAAGATTGGTAGAATCAATTCAAACATTACCGTGGAAGATAATTTTGCACTTATTCGTAATATAACTTTTTTACATCTATGAGAGATGAAGGATCTTGCTTGGGTTCAGTACTATTTAAGGAAAGTACTGTTATAAAGGCAACGGTTAGTGCAGGGAAGTAGTGTTGCCCAAATCCGAGACCGAGACGAGTCTTGGTCTTGCAAACTCAGTCTTGTTCATGGTCTCGGTCTTGCGCGAGAGTCTTGCAACAGTCTTGCAGTTACTTACTAGCTTATTATTATAGACATATTAGTGTGATTTTTTAGATAGGAGAAACCTAACTAAGACGGAATGAAAAATTAGAGAAGTTAAATGCAAAAGTAAATTGTTTATACCAATTATTAACATAAAGAAACTAAGATTTTCAAGTATTAGTAACTATTTTGCCTTAATTTTTATTTAAAAAATCGATTTTTTACCAGTCCTGGTCTTGGTCTTGCAACAGTTAGGCGGCATTGGTCTTGGTCTTGCAAATTGCAAGACCAAGACCGATTTTGGGCAACACTACAGGGAAGAGATCGGACCAAGATCAATAAACGCTTAACTGCAATGTTTTCCTCCTTAATCAATTATTTAATTAAAAGTATTCACTTTATACAGGCTGGATGTGCCTCTGGAGGGTCTTCCTACCCCAGAGTCATCCCACGGCCAAGGAAACAGAATAAATAATTTTCCTTCCAAGAGCCGGTATTTGAACCTATGACCTTCAGCATTGGAAGCTTAGCGCTCTACCACTGAGCTACCACGCTTCCTATGGTAACAAAGTTATAATTCAACAGTTTCTTTTATTTAAATCAACTTAAGCAAGGTTAAATACTGGAATAATCAGTTCAGTTTAGAGTTAAAGGGAAGATAATTACTTCATTAACCGGTCCAATAGACCATTCGCAGCAACTGTATAAAATTTAAATTTAAAGTAGAGTTCGTATCAGTGATTCGTTAAAAGTATTATCCGCTGTTGGGTTAGCGATCAGTGGTGAGTTAGGTCTGGGAAAAGCAATCTCGCCAATTGCTCTATCGGTGCCTCGTTAACGGTAGTTACATCGAACTCATCGAAATTTAAATGTTTCCTTCCGCACCAGTTCAGTCATTCAATTGATCAGATATTGTGGTCATTGATGGTGGAAATTGCGTCTGTAATAAAATTTCAAGTCGTTATATTGAAAAAAAAATGCAATAATTAGTCTGCGGTAAATACCCCTTTTTATTAATATATTAACCAGTCTAAAACATTGTTAATAGCTCCATCTTAACTTACCACCTTTTTTTGTTTACGAAAATTATCAGAACTGGGACGTTTTCCCATTCAATTAATTAATTTTATGAACTACTAAAAATTCACGAATGCACATTTGCATTCACGCTAGGACCGTAAGTAATAATAGAATAAACAGCATGTTTTATTTTTTTATTTTTAGCTTGCTGTTACATACGCATACTGTTAATGCAAAAGGTCATATGTGAAAAATTGAGTTTTTTTACTGAGGAGCATAAAAACTGATTATTTGTTTATGATTTATTAGTATAATTTTATATTTTATTTCCGTCGGCAATTTTCCATAGTAGCTTATTGCAATAGTAGACTACGAAATGTCACCTTTAGCACAATTAGAATAAATACATAAAATTCTTATATACGATGTTCTTACTAACAATAGGCATATACTAATGATCTACACTATCTAATTCAGATTTTTGTAATTAAGGGTTAAGAAAAAAATTATAGGATTTTTGGATTCTACATATCATGAATCATAAAACTCCTAATTTTGAGGGGGTTGAAATTCCGTTTTTCTCGGTCAAACATAATGGTTCATTTTCGATAATAATAAACTAAAAATATATTAGAAATGCTATATCTTTAATAATATCGCTCTAATTTATTTATTTATTTGATGTTTTGTTGCCTCTACCCTGTAGGGTCATTTAGATGTACCTTTTTGACGTTGTTAGGAAATTTAATTACCTTTGAAATATTTACTTATAAAAGTTTGCACATTTTGAGTAATTCATCAATAAACTACTATATGTGCATACATTTCTATACCTTTAAGGAAAAGATTTTAAGCAAGTTTCGTTAAAATCGTTGTAGCCTTCACAGCACTACAGTCTATTGCGGGAATTTTCGACCGCCAAAACTTTGTCAATCATGACTTTGACACCAAATCTCAAAACAATTGGCCCAGTATTTTCCAAGAAAGTTCGCGGAGCGCGGATATACAACCTCAAATTTTAAGATGAGTTCATTTTTATTTGTCTTTATTGAGTACATAGGTTTATTATTGAAAATTATAAATTAAAATAAAATATTATAATTAATTAATCATTTATATTAAATTGTTTCATATATAATGCATAAAGTTTAAAATATTTTAATTACAACTTCATTGGTAAAACATTTTAAAAGTTGCTGTTGTAGAATAATGAAATATCACTAATCCAGATGTACATATATTTGTATCAGCAATATATACGAATATTACATGATTAAAAATAATTAATAGTGATAATAATTACTCATTAAAGTAAATTCAAGCCTCATCGCACTATAATTAAATGTTCCTCTGTTAAAGATGCAGTGGCCTATTGAAATGATACAGAATAGACCCCAGTGGTAAAAATATTACCACCACTTAATATAAAATATATTATATTAATATTATAAACTATAATTAATATTACGAGATTAAATTTACACGGATATAAGTATCAATTATATTTAAAAGATTGTTTTTTTTTCAATTTTATCACAAGTTTGTAGCTATTTATGGGTGGCTGGCTTATTTAATTTGAGTTGGGACGGTAAGTGAAGTGGTTTAGATTTAGACTGTTATTTTGGGTAAAGAATATGAAATATTTTGGAAGAATATTGGCCATTAATTTTACTTCTTTTAAAGAAAATATATTTTCTCCTTATAAACTTAATATATGAAATTTAGGCTGAAAAACTAGCCTTCCCTTCATATATCTGAAATCGAACGCCCTGATGAAGGCCTGAAACTTAGTCCGAAATGTTAAAATTAAATATGATTTATTTTTCCCTTGTATTTTGACTGAAAATACCATTCAAATTCTCTTCAAATATGAAACTGATATCATTTGATTGATTTAATAATACATTAAATATTAATTCTAATAATGAAACCCTTATTATATCTTTTTAAATTATAACTTGTAATTAAATATTGATTTTCTTCGTTTATTATAATATATGTACATTTAAATACACTTCTTTCATAAATATGATCAATCAATGATTCAATGTTCCCAGACGACTGTCGTTGTGAAAATGGTGGGAGATGCAGAAAGAGAGGAGGATGCCATTGCAAAGGGGGTTGGCATGGAGCACAATGTGAGGAACCAGTCTGCAATGCATTATGTCATCAAAGAGGAGGCACATGCACTGCTCCAGGAGTCTGTGTTTGCCCAGCAGGATTGTGTCAGGACCGTAAGTAATAATAGCATACACAGCATGTTTTATTTTTTTATTTCATTATTTCTCTTTATCTGTCATAAAAAAATAAAAAAAATAAATAACTTAGATCGGGTGATCTGAACTATATATATTATGATAGTACAAATCACTTTTCCGGTTCACAGGAGCGATGAATTTTGTTGAATGAAGTGTCAAACGAAAGAGAATCAGGGGATAGAGAAGAGAATCTCAATTTTGATCCTTTAATTCCTAATGCAATATTAATAAAAGTCATTGAAAACTAAACGGTTTCAAAACTCCGACATTGGTAAATGGATCAAGATGGACCAAATTGCGTTTTAATGACTTCGATAGATTTAATGATTTAAAGGTTTAAGGATTTCGTCTTGAAGTTCTTATATTCAACCTACCGTAACATGGAGAAATGTAATCCAAAATCCTTTTGATTTATCCTACTTATGTGCGATGATATCTGTTCAATGAAAAAATTTTTGGTGGCCGATGATAAAACGAAACAATCTCATGTAAAAGCCTCGATCTCAAATGAAAACTACCCATTTGTATTAGGTTAATTCCTGAGGGAATGTAAGTCCGACAGTCGTGATCTATTTAAAGTAGGAATACTTTCAGTAATCAAAAATGTAAGGCAGATAATTTTATAAAACCAAAAAAGAGAACAAATCCAATGCCAAATTATAATAAAATAGTTTAATATAATGCTATTAAGTGGTCATATAAGCAATATAAGCAAGGACGGATTTATGTTCACTATAGATTACCATAGATTTACTTTCAATTTATCTCCAGCCTTAAACTGAAGTAAGACCACCGCTGGCATTAATACCACACAACAATTCTGTCATTACCATCTGCTTAAGCATTAAATTCAAAATACACTTGATTAGTGATTACTTTGTTAAAAAAAAAAAAATTGAATGAGTTGAAAAAACCTTACTTTACTTAAAACTTATTGGAGGATTTCAATGGCTTTTGAGGCTGAAAAAATTTATTTCATCGTCGTTCAGGAAACGTATTTAAGTGCATTTTCTAGGTATACAGCTTAGAGAACCAGAAAGTAGTTGGTTTGAATATAAAGTAATAAAATAATGGATACTTTTACTCAGAGATACATTGTTGAGCTTCATTATAATCTATCTTTGTTGCAAAAATAGATATTGCTCATTTACAAACTTACATAAAAGAGGAACTCATATAAAAATAAACCCCAGATGTCATCACACAAAATAGATTTCCATGGTATAGTCAGAATGTATAAAATACAGTCTGTTAGATGCTATTTGGATTGCATTGACCTTAATACATACATGGATGAGGATGGATTTTGTGAGGAGAACAGGCCCCGTAGCAAATGTTTTCAAAGTGGCGATTTACATTCACCTGGGGTCAACTGAAATTGATTCCTTAAGGAAAAATTCTTTGTTAGTAAGCCATATTATCAGATTTAATTTTATATTTCATTCTTTGATGATAATCACATCAATAACTGTTATAAAATGCACTAATTATTTCAAGTCACTTCAATTAATACATTGTATTATATTTTCAGCCATTTGTGATCCGGAATGTAAGAATGGAGGTCACTGTTTAAGAAACAATCAATGCCAGTGTCCACCAAACACAAGTGGAGATCATTGTCAAAATTGTAAATATTTATATAAACAATTATTTATATTATTAAATTAATTTTAAAAATTTACATGATAATTTATTTCTAAAATTATTCTTAAGTCAACCCAGATGTAATGTATTTGATTACAGTATAAAACAAACTGTAAGTTCTAAATCTCTTGAATTCAAAGAAGAAATGTAATGTAGTTTAATATTTAATGTTTTTTCACCATTGCTGGTTTTGTAATATGCAGCATTCTTTAATTATAGAAATCATAGTCAATTATATTAAATGAATTGCACAGTAGTTTTTCAAAAATCTGTTGGTCTAGATGCATTTTATCTTTTTGCCATTAAAAGCAATCTTTCTTACCAGCTTTCTCTCAGTAAATCTCTTCCCAGCCCACAAAAAATGTTACCATGATATACATACTTTTTCTTTTATTATCCTTTTGGTTCAAGTTTGAACTGAACTAATAGTTAATTATATTTGTTGATAATACATGCCTTTAATGTAATGCATTTATCCCTCTCTATGTATACAAGAAGCTGGACAAATTGAATACATATTATGCTTACAAATTGGCAATAAGAATAATTATAATTGTATAGTAATATAAATTGGCAATAAGACACAATGTATGATATAGATTTTCAAATAAATTAAAATTTTATCCGAGCTGTGGTTCCGTTCAGTTTATTTTATGTTCATAAAAAATAATACAATCTGAACTATAGAATACATGTAAATTATAGTTATATAATTTGAGCATTCAGCAGTACAATCACATGAAAAGTTGTATAATTTGTAGAATGGGGATTGGTCCTCCATACGGCGGACAGAGGTTCCCACTAATTATATATAGATTTCTTAGTCAACCACTAAATAACAATTATCATAATAAACAATTTTTGTTGTATCATAATATAACAAGAAAGTTCTTTTATTCATCATCTATATCTTATAACACATATAACTCAAAGGTGAATATTATGGAATAGCTACTTCAAAAAAAAAAAAAAAAACTTAAATTATGTCTTTCTGATTTTTATAATTTTGTCAACTATCATCTTTGGGTCAACTGATTCAGCAATCTTTATTCTTTTTCTTTTCATAAAAATTGTAGTTTGTGTCTTTGAAGAGTCTCAAAGGCTTATTAAAGTATACAATAGCTTAAATTAGTGAAGCTATTTCATTATTTTTAGTATCTGACTGTTGACAATAGCTTTTTTTAAGACGATAACTATAGCTTCCTTAGGCTGAATGTATAATTTTATTTGATTGTTTTTGGAGCTTAAAAATAATAACATCAATATTGTTCCAGACACATGTGGAGCAGGTTGCCAGAATGGAGGAACATGCGTAGGACCGGGCCTTTGTGAATGTCCCCATAATTCCACAGGCCTACTTTGTGAAGTGCCACTTTGTGAACCACCGTGTGAAAATTCTGCAACATGTGCACCAGGAAATATTTGTTTATGTCACCCTCATTCATCCGGACCCCGATGCCATGACAAGTAAGTTACTTTTTTTAAAGTAATAATCGAATATAATTTATATTAAATTGAATCAAGCCTTTATCCATCTATAAATAATATATAAGATGATTCCTGCAAAATTTACTTGGATGTTGATTGATAATTAAGACTCTAGCTTTTAAACCAGAAAAATGTATGTATAAAAGTTTAGTTCTAATTTGTAAAAAATATTTTCCGAAATGTTTTATCTAAGAGCTATTACTTACTAACTTTTATGGTATAGTTGATATTAATTTTAATTTTCATAACAAGAAAAGTAGCTATTAAGGCAATCAGCACAAGGGTTGATGCCCACATTATGTTTGAGATCTATATTTGAAACTATTATTAAAATACAAATAAAAATTCATTTCTTCTTTGATTCTTATCTTCTGGAGGATCACCATGATATGGCCAATGAATTGTCAGTAATCCCCCAATTGATTGGTTAACAAATCTTAAGTTCTTCGTTCAGTATATGATGAGGATATATTACCACTACCCCATACAGTCCAACAGATTATGGGTTTACTCCTGCTTGGAGAAGAACTGGCATCGCTTGAAGAGCATGATGCTTGTATCCAAACTTTGTGAATTTTATAGGAAGATAAAATTTTCTTATTTTCATTAAATAGAAATTTTGGTGCTTACATTTTTCGTCATGCAAATGGTCAAAACCACTTGAATTAAGGATAACACGTTTAAAAGACACCAAGAGACTGATTATCTCATTCTTGATGATGGGTAGACAACTGATGGATCCTTTATTATTTACTCAAGCTGTAACACCCAAGTGTATAAATATTGCATGCTTGACGAATTTTTGAACAAGCAGAGTGCGGAGTGCCTGAATATACTAACACAGTGCATATTTATTGCTACCAGCAATATTTTTAATTTAAAATAATGAAAAACAGACATTTATCTAATTACCTTCCTTTTTCTTCGTCACTACAAATTATAGAAAGTCATGGCCTCTGAACTCAGTCTGCCAATTGGAAATTAATGATTGTACCTTCCTGACATTTCTAAATTTCAAATCTGAATCTTGCACATGTGGCAATGCCATAAATCTATTTTAGTCTATGTTTTAACACTCTTCCAGTGATATATCTCGTTTCGTCTACGATCTGGTAAATGGGTTGACGTATCACCCAAGGAATATTGACTGCTAGTAGTTCAAGATCTCCAATGTCCATTAGTTAATATGAGCCCATTAATTAAAAGAACTCAAATAGAATCAGATCTTTTGATACCATCCAACATTCTTTATAGCATATGTTTTCGTATACCAAAAACAGTATTCTCTAAAAGCAATCAATATTCCCTTATTGTGCTATTCCCATTGAAACCATCCCGGAAAAAAAAAATTGTTTTTAATACAGTCATATTTTCTAGCTTCAGTGCCATAATATTGTTTAGATTAAGTTATAGGCCAATAGTAATCAATATTTGTTTCAAATTTTCTTTCTACCTACTGCCCATTCTCCAAATTAAATAAAATAGTCATCTGAAAATAGGCATGCACATCAAATGTAATTTAGTCAACAACCTCATAATTATTACTAACAATACTCTTATCTATTCAATTTTAGCTTCTAACGTTAATTATTGTTTGATAACTATCAGTAATATTTTTATTAAAGAAAAAAAAAACATGAAAAATAAAAAATGTATTTATGGTTCCAATTTATGCACCCCCATTAGTTATAAATCTATATTTCATTTTAATAAATATTTTACAATACAAAATAAAAAGTTATTAAAAATGTGCCAATTTATTTTTTAAATGAAACAGTTATTTATTACAAAATAAAGTTAAAGAAATGTTCAATGAATTATAACATTGGAGACTTCTTAACAACAAACAATAAAATACATCAATAAGTTTTTTAAGACTGGTAAATTTTAGACACTGTTAAAAATTAAAAAAAAAGTCGCAGGAGACAATTTCAGCCAAGAAAAAGTAAATAACTGGACACCTACCTTGAATGAGTAAAATTGCTTTTTTACAAACTATTGAAAAAAAAGAAAAGAAAATACCTATGATGTTTCAAAAACTATGTATCAAAACCAATGGAGTATAAAGAATGCATTAAATGTAAGTGGGCACAAAGATTGTGCTACTAGACAGATTTAAACAAAAACAAAAAAAGATAATCTGTGTACTGAATTGGATCTTGAAGAAGTTTAGTATTTCATTCTTTAACATGTATCATAATAAAATAGATAATTGGAAATAAACATTTTGAAATAATGATAACAGTTTAAAAATCAAAACATTTTAATTGTTTCCAAAAGAAGCCTAATGAATCACGAACAAATTACAACTGCTATATCAATGAATTAATGTGAAGAAAGAGTCCCCTTCAAGATAATTTGAATGTGGATATTCATAAAATTGGGAAGTTATGAAAGTAATATTTTTCTAAGTTAAATTTGAATTTTAGGATTCTTAGTAGATTATGGCATTAATTTTCTATTTATTAACTGTTTTTACTTAAAGTTGAGCACATATGGTATTTATTATTATTTTATTATTTGCCTTATCATCATAAGAAAAGAGCTTACTGACTTCAATAAACTTTTTAAGAGACACCTTTTGTTAATTTGTTTTTTCTTAACAAAAATCAGCCTAAATATAAATTTTTCATAAAAAGTTCAAAATGAAAATATTTTCATATTTGACCTTAAACAAAAAAATGATGGCCTGTGATCATAAAATGATACATTAAATTCCTTTTTATCCACATTTATCATTAATTTTGAAAAATTCATATTTTCCTATTACTTTTTTAAACAAAATTTATTAAAATTTTATTAACATAATTTTAATATTAACATAATTAAAATATCAGGCCAACAAATCAAATATCAGTTAAAGGTCGGTTTTCCAATCTTCTAAATTCTCTCACACCCAATCATCAAACGAAAATAGAGAATGTGAATGAGATTAGATGGAACAGGTATAAAACCCAATTTAGTTTTCAATTAGGACGTTTATAGTAATTTTCCAATAGGATAAGATGGCTCTCACATTCAAATTTTTTGCTTACGGCTTTTTATAGTTTAATAAAGTAAATTTATTATTCGTCAATAATTTCAATCAGTGTCGGTCGGCAAAGCAATCAGGGAAATTGCCACACCAACCATGAGAGATGCCCATTGGATGAGCCGATATTCAGGAGCACCTATCACTTGTTAGAAATTAAAAAAAAAAATACAATATCTGTTAAAATAATTCATTTTAGCCTATCAATAAAGCAACTTTATTAGAGAAATATGGAATGAAATTAAATTCAAATATTAAATAATATTAAATAGCTTAAGAAATAAATTTAATTCTTTTAGGAGAGAGAAGGAGAGATGACAAGATTGCCTGAGGATGCCAAATGTCTAAGGCCGGCATTGCTTTCAATAATATCAATAAAAATATATTATTAAATAAAAAATATTAGGGATGAGTTTGCCAACCAGGTTAACGCAGGTGTACAGCACTGCACGTTGCCCGGTAACCTGATAACCGAAGTTATAGAAGATTAAATAAGTACAAGTTCTTGTCCTGGTGCCCAGGAGGGCTTTTAAGACTGGCATTAATCTTTCACCTTCATCCCCTGGCCCAGGAAAACCCCATACAGCCTAAAAGGCTAGGAAGAGGGGACAAAAAAAAAAATAATAAAATAAAAAGCAATGAACTATGAAGCCAGTATTGATAAAGGGAATCACTAAGGAAGACCTTTGGGATTCATGAAATTATCAAAATATTTTTTATCAATATCAAACTTGATTTTCACTATTCATTCTCAATTCAGTCTAGTTAAAAGCTACACACATATAGAAGGAGAGAGAAACAATATTATTAGAAAAACTCAATGCCTTATAGAATATATTTTGCTTGTCAATGCTTTAACACAGCAGATTCTTAATTGAACCAAGAAAGGAAGATTAAGGAAATACTAGGTTAAGTATAGTTAATATTAGAAAATACATTTTAAATTCATCAAGGTGAGATTTCTATAAGCCTTGAGCTTCCTTTTTCCACTTTTCAAATGATTAAATATTAACACATGTCCATTATTATAAATTATACAGAATGCAATGAAGTTAAGCAACAGGAATACTGACTCTAATCTATACTGGGCAGGATCACTGCCTATGATACCTCTGAAAACATGTTCTATTCCTGGAAAAAGTTTTTCAAGAATTGAGGATTTTTTCAAGAGTTGGAATAGTATCTACTAATATCTCTGAGGAATATTGAATATCAATTTATTTATAGACTTCTATTCATATATAGGTATAACTTTATACTCAAGGTGCTATATCTGATGGTTAAGAGGAATCATTTAAAATCTACCACTGCACATCTTTAACAACACCAAGAATCATTAACACAACAACCAAGTTTGAAAACCTTGTCTATTTCAAGAAAAGTTAAGCTATAAATTTTAATTTAGCACTCAACTACTCAGTGATGCTTGATTTCCTCAGTATGTAAATACTAATGGTGAAATTACTCAGGAAAAGTTGACAAAATCAACTTAAGATGGACAACTGGTCATTACTGTTCAATAATTTTAAATTATAATCTCAAAAATTCATTTTATAAATAAACTTGCTTTAATCAAAAAGACATATAAACAGCCATAGAGATTAAAATAGCAATTATAGAATCAAATTTTAATACTTACAAGCATGTCAAAGTGACAATTTAAAAAACTGAAAGACCATTACAATAAATCCCAGATTTCAAGTGACTTATCAACCATACAAGATGAATACTAAAGTAAATTGGTCCAATGTAATCAGGCTATTAATAAATTAATTTATAGCTAGACAAAAAGAAAGATACCTACATGTAAAATAAAACTATCACAGATTCATATTAATCTTCAGATTTCATTTGTAGAAAATGTGAATATCGCCCTGTCCAAGAGCCATATACTCGCGGATTTAGAAGATTGGTCAAAAAGAGGTATGAGACAAAATGTGAACCATGGAGTTGGAAATCTTGCCTCAGAACAGTACCTGAATATCAAACAGTCTATAAAACATTTTATAGAACCACCTATAAGTGCATTGATCAGCCATGAAGTTAATGTAAGTTTGAATTTTTTTATATATTAATGCACAATTTAGGAAAGTAGCTCAAGACACAAATACAAATATCATTAGTAGAACAACTAATGAAGGTTATATTGATTATAATTTACGAGTTGGTTGAAATTTTAAAACTAAATTTTTTTTAATAAGCAAAAGGCCCTTAAATTGTTCAAGAAAAAGAAAGTTAATAAAATTAAATAAATTATTTTTAAATTGGCTTCAGATGTTGTTTTCTTTATTGATTGATATAATAAATAATAAAATGGATTTTTCTGTTTTTAAAAGTGCATTAGGGCTTTTTACTTGTTAAATATCAACTTTTTAATTGAATTGTTGTTTGTTAATTCAGATCACAAATAATGGCATTTAAAATATCCCAATGATGAGGGATTAATATATTCATTATTTTTTTCTAAATATTAAATCCTCAATAACACCATCAAACTTCAACAGTATCCTGATATACGTGCTTGTCAACTTTATAACTATTAAATTATGTACAGAAGAAAAAGTTTAATTTACAAAAGAAGACAAATTTTGTAATACATGTCCTTTTTTTTTTTTTTTTTTTTTTTGTTAAAACTATTCCATGCCTTGTAAATAATTACCAAATATTTAAATGTTTCCTTATAAAGTGGAAGTAAGTATAATCCGTTTAATGTTAGCCTCCCAGTTCATAGTATAAACATTTTTAGTTTTGAAAATCTTTGCCATCTCATATCTCAAAACTCAATTTTGGAGCATACACCTTCTTGCAGATTATATCCTCAATTTATGCCATTTACATTCAATTTATTTATATATAGATTGTGGGGCCTCCTCCACAATGGCGAACCAATTCTTAGCATCTTGCATCAATCCTCCCAGCAACCTTAATCCCTCAACTCTCACCACATGTCTGGCCATCTTGGAGCAATGACCCTAATACCTCTCCTAGCATCAACAGTTTATTTTGTATTTAATGCAGTTTTCATGTAAATAAAGCATCCTTTATTTTACATGTAGGAGGTATATTGTATTATTGAAAAATATTATAGCTCATACTTAGTTAACAAAGCGACTTTATATACTAAATAAAAATAGTAAGTGATAAATCAAATAAGTGAGAACATACAAAGGATAAGATTTTTATATTGAAACTATTTTATTATGTCAACAAGAAATTGGGTGAATTTTAGGTTACAAAGTACCTTAGCCAGAAATCATATCGAATTAGATTTACCACAAAGGTCTCAAATCCTTTCCTTACTAATTATATTTTTTTAATCATAATTTAAATCATTTTCTCAACTTGTCGCAATGAAATGATTTTATTTAATCTGTGAAATAATTAAATCATAAAAGTAGTTTAAAAAAAATTAAATCACTACGAGTTTCATAGATTGCATGACAATTCTAAAAAAATAAACTGTAAAAGAGCACAACAGTAATTCAATTAATCCTAATTTTGTGTTATTTTTTATGTTCATGGATATTATTTAGTAAATTACTGCAACTGTCTATTTATAAATAAACTAGGAAAAGACAAAGTATAAGAGAGTTGGGCCTGGAGCAAAGACGATGGATCGACAGCCCGTGCTGATGGATCAATTCACATTCCAGAACGTTGACAAACTTGTGTATACGGGGTCTGTTGGGACTTTGAAAAACAGGATATCTAAGGAAACCAGTTAGTTACTCATCAAAGCCAACAGGTGCTATTGGTCTCAGAAAGAACCTTTCCCTCCATACTACGTGCCTCTTATTGAAGACCCTTATTCAGCTTGTTCTGACTTATGGATCACAGCCCTGACCCTTACTAGTAATGAGAAGAGCAAGATTCTGATATTCGAATGAAAGATAAATTGACGAATATTTGGGCCAGGAAGGGTTGGAGAAGACTGGAGGTAAAGAACGAATAAAGAAATTTATCATTTATCAGGCGGGGCTGACATAATGAGGGTATTAGTTGGAAAAACTGTGGTGGGCTGGCCATGTTGCACATATGCCAGAGAGGTAAATACCCAGAAAACTGCTGGATGGGAAGCTCTAATGGGTGATAGTAAGAGGAAGGACACTGGATGGGAGGACACTGTTACCAGGTAATGGGCTGGGTGGCTAGCGGGCTAATGCGTGTGCAAAGCACCGTCATTGCCCTGCAATCTGGATCAAAGATTATTTGATAAAATGAATTATGAAAAACGATGCCTGGGGGGCTTTTGACTCTGGCATTAATCCTCCGCCCTCACCCCCTAGTCCAGGAAAACTCCATATAGCCTAATAGGTGAGGAAGGTGAGGACAAAAAAAAAAAAAAAAATACGAAATAGCGATCAATACCACAAGAATGAGCTACCTGACAAAGGCTTCCCGTGGAGATCAAGGACCCCATTGGCTTAAAGCGCCAAGGAGTGTCTATTCACAATTAAACTTTATCATAATGTACCAAACTTCTGTATCTTCCAAACAGGTTTTTTTTTTTCAAATGATAAGATATACTCAGTGAAAACTACTTATTTAAACATAAAATCAAATTACAGTTATTAAAAACTGTTTTGTGAGTTGTATAGCATAGTTAACTTATTTTTTTAATTTTAATATTAAAATTTTATTATTTTAAATTATATAATTTATAATACTTTCACATCACTATCAACAAAGTCCAATAATTTGTTGTTAGGTATAAAGTTTAATTTTATAAAGAAGTTTTATTTATTCATTTCACATATAAGATATATATATCTTTAAATCAAGTTTTAGAAATGAAATTTTGGATATATATAATAAAGTTTTGATAGAAACATATCATGTTCAAAAATTTGTCATTTATTTTGTCTATTAAATTTTTTATATAATGCATATTTTCAGTGCTAACAAACCTAATTTTTTTTTTTTAGATAAGTTTGTGGCCCATACATATCTCTCGTCCAGACGAAGTGGAGGAAAGGTGGTACATCACCTGATTATCTAATAGATTTGTAAATAATTTCATTCTCTGTTACATTATCTATTATATATTTAATTTAATTTATTTATTTTACTTCTGGGGTGGATGGAAAAAGTTATTATTTTAGTTGTGTTGACAAAAAGTATTTTGTAATTTTAAAAATAATCTTTTTCAATATAATTGGTTGTTTCATACTTGTTTAGCAATGCTATCATGATGAAATGAGGAATTATGAAGTAGATTAGATATAGCTGCTTATAGATTAGCAATGTAGCGACTATTATTTTATTCTGAGATATATAGAACATGTATAGAGATATTTTAGAAGAAACTATATTCTGTGTGGTTTATATTTCAATTTTTTAGAACAAGCTTCTTCTATCCATTCCTCAATGTAATTTTAATTTCTAATTTCTGTGCTCTATTTTTTTAATACCTTAAGTATGGAAGAAAACTTCCATTCCTAATTGTATGTATAATGTTTAACATTAACAATAGGTTAAAAATAAGTGTAAGCTACTGTTAAATGTAATCTCTATATCAAAACATTTCTGTATTTTCTTTATCATCAACAAACTAAATAATGTGTTTTAATTAATAATAAATTTAATTAAATTGATTAAAACAATAGTAAATAACAACTAACACTAATTTATTAAGAAATACAAGGACCAAACGATGGTTTTGGCAGATAAAATTTCTTATGGAATCATCATTGCTTTTTGAAATGTAAGATTGACATAATTCAAACAGTAATCATAGATATTTCAAGGAATGACATAAGAGTTTATAAATTACCTTGTTTATCTTTCGCTATTGTTTTAAAGTTAATTTTGTGCAAAAATATACAATTATTTTTAAATATACATATTTTTCAGAAACTATTGGTCCATTTCAGAAAACCATTATCCAAGGATGTATTGAATAAAATTTAAATCTATGACTGATATTCAGATGATAAATCAACAGTAAAATTATTTTAAAACAACTATCGGTAGGGCAAAAAGATTATTTATAAGAAAAGACAATACATTGTTCATACTAATTACATCACAGATATTTAAAACCTTTAATTATGCTTTTCCTATATAGTTGCTTTGTAGATGTCTAAGTGTTCTAATAAATAAGTATAGTTTCCCACTTGTCTGCTATTTGTAAAGGCATAGGCATGTAACAATTTTTTTTTTTGGTTTGTGTCAAATAGGAATGAAATGTACATATATTGAAAGAAAAAAAATCTACAAAACTGATTCCTGAATACCCTTCTTGATTATTGTTGTATAAAAAAAGTGTAAAAGTTTCTTTTCTTTAATTTAATTAGATGCTAAGAAACTTTTCTAAAATGTAGAAGAATTATTTGGACTTCTCTATGAATTTATAATTATAATCATAAATGTCATTAATGAACAATAAATTTTATATGTTCAGTGTCTAATTTGTGTATTTTTTATTTCAATACTCATATTACCCCTCTTATCAAATTTAAAAAAAAAATCCTATTGAGATAAATTTTTAACTGTAAAATTAAAATGATCTTTAAGTGTTAACATAAAAAAAAAAAAAATTGAAATGTAGTATTCATTTAAAAATTCAAGAAAACAACAAAAGGCTAGGGAGATCATTAGCTGAATAAACATTTTGAAAATGGGTTTCTTAATAATACTGCACTATAAAATGTTTACTCCTGAGATAAGTAATGTAATTCAAAAATTCTAGACCACTTCAAGCTTATGTTGTTGAAGAAAACAATTAACATTAGTGAGAAAATAAAACTCAGTTTTCAATAACGTCCTATGTCAATAAGAACTGCAGTGTGATTCAACTGAACAAGAAGCTGATCAGCTGCAAATTCAATGTGATAATTGTTGTTTAGAATTACATTTTTCAAAATATATTTCTTCAGTATCATAAAACCTCCATCTAATCTGGTTAAATATTAGCTAATGGAATAATTTAATTGATAATAGTATCTATATTATTTTTACTTAATAATAATTAAATTATCAGCATAAGGCACATTGATTAAGATTGAATCAATTGTATTGGCCTTTGTGAGCTTTTATTGATGAGTCCTTGTACACTAAAAAAAGAAATGCAGGCACTAAAAATTCTTCACTGCAGAATATAGGTTCAAAGTACATATGGAATTTATTTACCTTCAGTTAGTAATAGGATATATCTAATTAATTTAAAATTCCATCTATTTGAAAATACTGTGAATCATCTTTTGTTGATCCTCATAGCTATAATAGATTGAATAAATCTTCCTAATCAATATTCCAAGTCTCTTCCACCGACTCTATAAATATGGATATCCATATAAAATATGGATAGCAGTAATGTCAATGTCACATGCGTGTCTAATATAAGCTCCTATTTGGTACAATGGCAAAACATTTGAAGAGCCTAATTTATAGTTGTAAAAATATTTGATTACACAATAACAGCAACACTGTCCGGAGAGAGGTTTTAGTATACTTTGTTGTTTACCTTATCTGTGTGCAACATGTATTATTATTCCATGTGTATGTATTATTTTCTAACATACATACGGCTCAAAAATGAATAGGGATATTGTTCGTCATGTATGATTTATTTTCTCTAGAATTTGTATACTATTTTCATATTAAAATTAATACAGATAAGACTGTATTTGATTTCAGGAAATTCTATAAGAGGTGTTTTAAAAAAGTAAATAAAATAAAGTTACAGGTTTTTGTGACCTTCAGTTTTTATTGTAAGAATTTTGTAAAATTTAATAATTTGTGTAATCCTCTGTTACACACTACCTCTCTGCACCTATCGTGCATATTTTTTATAATGTCATTGATTTATCAAGGAATTTCATACCAACAGTACAAGCGGTAACACTGCTCTCAGGTACTAGAGGTAAGAGGCTGCAGATTGTGATCAAAAAGCCTTCTCTCTAGTGAATCACAAACATACTCAATAGGATTGAGGTCTGCAGACAATGCGGTAAGGATCAGATGTGAAATGCTTAGATTTACAAGACATTTATGATCAAATTTTCTGCTATGAGTTCGCATGTGGTCATCAAGAAAATGCAAATATTGGCCAGTGTTGGCCCTGGTTTAAGGGATGTACCCCTCTATAATTTCTAAGACTGTGAGATTACCATTCAGAGTATGGAGTAGAGTTCTTTCTCCTAAGCAGATGCTGGCTCCTGCCATCATACTCCCACCTCCTAAAGGGAGCACAAACTGGTAGTGTACCCATACTCCCTTCTCAATAGAATCTTGGGAGCCTACTATTGCTGTAAATAAAGAAACGTGACACCAATAAACATAACAGCATTCAAATTTGTATCCTCATCAAGGCGCTCGCTGTACTATATTCTGTGAAGCTGGTGGGGAGGTACTGCTGCTGAAACCCATCTTAAAGGGGATTATGATATTATACCAACTTCCCAAAAATGAGTATGAATGGTTTATGTTGATATGGACTATAGCAGAATATTCACACTTTATTTAAGTATTGTCAGGAACTATGAAAATGGTTGCTTCTTGCAGTAACAACAATATTTATTTCATATATTGGAGTTGAAATGCCGTGAGATCCACTAATAGGTTTCCTATAGATACCTCCAGTTTCTCCAAGTCTGACAAAAGCCCTGGAGACCACACTGAGGGAGATTCCAACAATGACCGAGTTCTTTATAATCATCAAGATGGAAGCCTGGTCTTGATTTACAAAGAAATTTTCCTGGCTGGAAATATCAAGAAGTTATGATATCTGTGGGAAAGTAGTTGAAGAGAAATGCGCAGTTTATAAAATTTTATAAAACTTTTGACCCATTTAAAGTTCAATTAAGTAAAGAAATACATTACTAATATACTTGAACTCAAAAATATATACAGCCCATTTAAATTGTTAACCAGTTGAAATGTTTGATGATTACTAAGAGCCATCATCTGACCAATTATATAACAAAAAAGATTTAACAAAAATAATCCCAATTCCCTAAATCACCAATCAATAATATTCAAATTAATCCTGTACAACTATAATCTACAATGATACTCAGTAAGGGAGGAGAAATATAAGAAGTTTAAAAATTCAATAAATGAATATATTTAAAAAATTAATCTTCATTAATATTTCCCATATAAAACTTAAGTTAAAAGATCTATATTACACAAATTTGAACATTCATAATTATTATAAAACAAAAATGAAGCTTGAAATGAACATGTATAAATTAATCTAGAATGAATCTAAGTTTTAGGAATGTAATACTAAATTAAATTTGTTAAGAGATCATTAAAATGAAATGAGTAACAAAATATAAATTATCACATAAATCATTACATTCTAACAATTATAGCAATATCTAAACATCACAATCACTGGATATATATAAAATACAGTACTATGGATTTCAAAACTATTTCATAATTCTAAAATATAACATTGGTTATAAAATTTGTTGTGTAAAAGTTATATAAAGTGACACTTATTCTTGAGAGATTCCATAGACTGAAATATAACCAGACATCCTTTCCACTCTCATCCTCTGAGCGAAATCAAGAAGCTTCATCTGAAAATAATGTTTTTTTTATCATGACATTAAAGTTAATTAAAAGGAGGGACTCTCCAAAATTGTAAAATATAATCATATCTTAAGAAAAAAATATAAAGAAGTTATCTCTAAAAGTGTTATTGTTATTGTAATTACATTTAACAAGACTTCTAGAACCACTGAAACACCAATTTGTACTTTACCGCTATCAGGTTATTTTCCTTACATGTCAGGATAATAATCCCAATCAGTTTGAATTTTTATTTTTCTCAGTTAACATGGAGTGGGTGATAAAGAAAACTGAATAGCTATGATCGCCTTACACAAAGTTGGAAAATGTAGGTTAGAGATTTTCAACATTTTGAAACCTTTGGGTATCAGCCATGTGTTCATGTATCGCACTATAAATGAGACCATATCTGTGTGTGACAGACCTCGACTGAGCCGTCCCTGCACTGTGAAATGGCAAATCCAGTGAGGGCAGTGGCTGCTTGAATCTGAGGAAATCCCATTCGAAAACAACAAATTATGCTTTGGGAAATGGGAATCTCTGTCAGATCAATGTCTCGCATAGTGAAAAGTGACCTTAGGATGGGTGCATTTCAAAGAATGACAGGACAAAGGCTAACCACTCCCCCTTAAAAAAAATAGAGTGGATAGATGCTAAGTGCTCCTTGGCCATTACACCAATGGTCTTCATTGAAAGATTTTGTTTAGCAATGAGAGCATTTTTTACAATTATAGAAAAATTTAATCGCCAAAATAATCGTGCATA